GGCAGAAGGGGTTACATGAGTAAATGAGTCATCCTCCATCTCGTGCAGTCTCAGCTTGCAGACACAGTGTGGGGCTGTTTCTGTTGTGTGGTTTGGATGCTCTGCCCGACCCTGTAGCATCTGTGGAAGGCAGGAGTTACGTGGAATTGGACCTTGCAGAGCCTGCATAGTCAGAGCCTTGGAGTTTATGGATAGAGATACTTTTGCCATATATGCTTTAATCTCCCGAATCCTTAAAGTAGCCAAGTGTAACCAAGTCATAACTTGATGACTTGTGTTGTCACAGACATAGCTGTCAGCCTCAACTGGTGCGCCACCTCCCAGGCACCTGCACTGTGGGCCTTTGGCTCTTACCATTTCCAGATCACTCCAGGTTGCTGTGTGTCTTGGAGCCTTCTTTGTAGACACTGTCTTCTCTTGCAATTTAATTTTTTTTTTTTAGTTGTAAATAGATACAGTTCCTTTATTTTATTTATTTTTATGTGGTGCTGAGGATTGAACCTAGTGCCTCACAGGTGCTAGGCAAGTATTCTACCACTGAACCACAACCCCAGCCCCTCCTTTGCAATTTAGTAGCTCTTTGCATTCTCTGATTATACTTGGGTCAGCTCCTCTCCCTTTCTGACTTGTTTCGGGTGGTTTTTGCCCATGAAGAGGAGCACTGAGCTTGGTTAGAGTCAATGGGGCTGGAGCGGAGGTTGGCAAAATTCAGCTCTCATGCCAGTGCCTTTGCATAACCTGCGAGTTTAGAATGGCTTTAACATTTTTTAAAATTCCAAAGAGTAATAATGTGTTTCACATGAATACTATGTGAAATTCAAATTTTAATGTCAACTCTGCTTGGGGGTGTGACCAGGTTGACTGCTTTGGTGTGCTGCTCAGCAGAAGTGAGTAGTGGCAGCAGAGACCTTGTGGCCTGCGAACTGAAAGTTTTCATCATTCTCTGGCCCGTTAGAAGGTTTGCCAACCCTGTGCTGGACCACAAGGGTCCACTTTATTGCATAAAGACCATGCTGCTGTCATAGAGACTTTGACACATCATCTTGGCTTTTTGATTGTCTAATGTGAACTGTGGGGGAGATCTGGGCAGGAGGCAGAGACCCTTCCCTACAGTGGTCCTTAAGTTACTGTTCAATTACTGGTTGAAAAACAAATGGTCCCCAGCAAGTAGGAGTGAAAAGAGAACCAGGAGCTGGGAGCACTGAAGAGAGTCTTGCGGAGGTGGTGAGGCAGGCTAAACTTGGAATCTTCCTGTCTCAGCCTCCTGAGTGGCTGGGACTACAGGCATGTTCCACTGCACCTGGCAGTGTTTTTTTTTTTTTTTTTTTTTTTTTGTACTGGAGATTGAACCTAGAGGTGCTTTACCACCGAGATACATCTCTAGAACTTTTTTTTTGTTTTGTTTTGAGACAAGGTCTCCTAGTTTGCTGAGGGTCTCACTAAACAGTAGTTTTTGAACTTACCGTCTTGAACTTGTGGTCCTCCTACATCAGCCAGTCACTGGGATTATAGGCATGTGCCACTGCATCCAGCTCTATGTGTTTTTTTTTTTTTTAATATTTATTGTTTAGTTGTAGTTGGACAACACAGTACCTTTATTTTATTCATTTATTTTTATGTGGTGCTGAGGATCGAACCCAGGGTCTCACATGTTCGAGGCAAGTGCTCTACCGTTGAGCGACAACCCCAGCCCTCTTTTAAGAAGTTAATTATGTATGTTTTAAAATTGGTTTCACATTAATATTTCAACAATTTGGGGAAGGGGATTGGTGAGGATTGGTCCTTTTCTGACCTCTGTGTGGTACTTAAGGATTAAGTGAGGAGATGAGTAGTATTTAAGGAATAAACAGTGAGGTATATTTATAATCTATGTATTAGGCAGGATCCCAGAATTGTTGCCAGAATCTTCTAGCCTGGCTCCCAGAGATGGCTAGGCTCAAGGGAAGGTAGGTTGAGTGCTAACCTCAGTGTTGCTGTGGCATTAGGTGGCCGATTCCACTCATCCATTCCAAGTAGCGCAGTCAGGCTGTGTGTCTGAGTGGTGGCCCTGTGTTTCTATCCCCAGTCCAGTGGCACTGATGACTAGTTTGTAGCCATGTTTCTGCTATGAGCACAGACTGAGGGCCCAGGTGATGGGCTGCCTGTCTGGCCTAGGTGGCCAGGCCCTCTTGCACTGGCTGAGGACTAACACCCCTTCTGCTCTCTCCCACTCCCTTCTATGTGTTCCTCTGCCCTGGCCTTTGACTACCTGCCTCTCTTCCAAGCTTCTGTCCTTGGGCTCCATTCAACTCTCAGTTAACTTCTGTGGCCTGAGATCCGTCCTAATAGGAAAATGCTCAGCAATTTGATGGGGCTGAGGAGGGCCTGTTCCTTCAGGGATGTGGCTCTGGGGGCATGCTTCTGCTGGGTCCTGTCACCATGTGAACTTATTTTTAGTAGGACACTTGGAGAAATAGCCATGTGCCAGCCTCTGTTTGCGCTTCCTGTTTGTAGAATTGATTTCAGGTGACTGATATTAAACTAAAGAAAATTGATTCTAGTTTCAAATCCCCCAATTTGCACTCAGAGCACAGGCACTAAAAATTTTGTACAATCATTATTAAAATCCATTTCCTAACCTTTGCCTTCCAGGTGATTGAAAACTTGGCCTCAAAACAAAAAATTCACTAGTTATGGTAAGCCCTTTTCCTATCTCTACATTTTGTCATTGTAGAGCACTGAGAGGACACAGATCAAGTTTTAATTCTGAAGAAAACATAAGGGCCTTATGGTGCTGTTGCAGCACCTGGGCTGGGGCAGTGGCCTGGGGTGGTCCAGCTGTGGGGGTCTCAGCTCCCTCTAGCCAGGCCAGCCTGGGCAGCAGACACTTCTTAGACCTGGAGATGTGTTTAGATCCCTTTTCCTTATTGGCTTTCCCAGGACTGACCAGGAGGATGCTTGTCACTGAAGTCACTCCCTATCCCTTTCCCTCATCTTAAAAAATGCCAGCGAAACTCAGAAGGAACAGACTGCCATTTGTCTGGATTTCCCCAACCCAGACCTGCCACATGTCTGTCCTGAGAGCCAGGCCCCAGGATCCCTATACCTGCACCACCATCCCTGCACACACCCAGGGCAGAGGTATAGAAGTCCTGCTCCCCTAGCAGGGTGTCAGAGCTGTGGCCATGTCATGTTAATGCTTGGCTTTTATTCATGGTACTGTACTCTGCACTTGCTGAGGGAAAGGTAACAGTGAACCATTTGGCCCTTGAAATTTTGTCCAAATGTGTCTATCATGTCAAATCAGTAAGGAGGATTTTAAATGAGTTTTAAAGTGATTATATCTACAGGAGAATTATCTGCAGTTAATTAACAAGCCTTACCAGTGTCTCCTCAAGGGAAAGAGCTAAGTCTAAGGAAACTAAAACTCCTCCCAAGTGAAAGTGGGAGCTGAGGATTGGGGCAGTCTAGCAGCAGTCTGGGCTCCAGGCAGGTCCAGCTGGGCCCAGCAGATGGCGCCTGCCTGGCCTCGCCACCAGCCCACGTCTCTAGAACTGCCTGGCATTTCTGGGTTCCTTTACTGTGATGGGAAGACAGAGTGACCATTTCAAGGAAGAAGAGCTTCCCCCAAACCCTGGGGGAGCCGCTGACAGGGTTTTCTGAAAAGGAGGGCCCATCTTGGCCTCCGTTCCAAACTAACGCCTGCGCCTCTTGTCTTTCAGATTCAACGTGTTCAACAGAAGCCATCCCCAACCCAGCTTAAATTATAAACATAGAAAATAACTTTGTTCAAATCTGCGTGGTGCTTCTTTAGTAAATATGTACAGATTTTACCATGGAAAACTTACTTTTTTTTGGTTTTGTTTTGGTTTTTTTGTTTGTTTGTTTTGTTTTTGTTTTTACGTTTTCTTAATTGCCCTTATTCCAAATGGATGAACACTTTCTACAACTGCTGACCACTGTAAGATACCGTGTATATATATCACAGTGAAAATAATGCCCTGGAATAGAACATCTCAAATGCTGCTTAATTACAGACTCAGGTTGATTACTTGTATTTCATGTAATGTTCCTCCAAGTTAGACATCTGGTGCAAGACCAACCGGGAAACCATGGAATTATTAAAAGTACAAACTGACAGTGTGTATATTTAATTTAAAGACTTATTTAAAGATTCACAAGCTCTCAACTAAACTTTTCGAGGGCAGTCTGTTTTCTGTAATGTCTGATACTAGAAACTAATTTGCTTCATATTTTAGTTGTATTCAAGATTTGAAAATGTATTTTATAGACAAGTTCTGTTTTTGAACTTTGTGGAACTATTCCAATCAATTTACCAGTTATGATGAGTATTTACATTATGAATGTATAATCTAAACATTATTTGTACAGCCTACGGTATGTTTTTATTACATAACACTTTTTTATACAGCGTCCTTGTCTTGACTATATGGTATTGGAGTCTGAGTTGTCAGCTTGGTCCCTTAAAGTTTCTAGTTACAGACAAAAATCATACTGTGATTTTATTTTTAATATGGATATGCTATCAAACTGTGATACACTTATAATTCACTGGTCCTGCATCAGGAGATGGAGTGGGGAAAACTGTATTTAATACAGTTTGTATCTGAATAATCTGTATGGTTTATACAGTTTGTGTTGTTCAGAGATGTCTAAAGTTTGATCTTTGTTTTTTTAAAGATTGAAAAAGCACTTGCCCCACTGTAAATAATACAGCATGTAAAATTTATATAGTATATAAATGGCAGCAAATTAAACATTTTGTGTCTTGTTTTTTACTCCTGTTTTCCCCATTTGCTTGCAGTATGTCTCACTGACTTCTTCTGCAGTCACTGTAGACCCACAATGCTCCTGCCACATGGTCTGTCAGTAGGTGCCTCCAGCCAAGCTGTCAGGCCTGGAACAGAGGTACAGACCCCAGGAATTGGTCAGGGAAAATCAGGCAGTGGTTTGCTGGACCCAACATATTTCTAATTTGAAGAACCAAGTCTTAGACAATCTTGTCTTAATAATACATTTGATTTTTATTTAGTGAACACAATATCTACAAGAGTTTTGACAGCCATATACCCTCCAATTTTTACTAACTTCACTCTGCAACAAAATATCAATAGATATTTTGATATCAATAGAATACTTCTTCATGCAAGTTGTGGGAAATATATACATTGAATAACAAAACACTCCAGAAATCAATATATATGTACATTATTTACATACTGACTACATTTATTGTAAATAGAAATGTCTTCTAAGAAAAAAATAAGAAAATGAGAAATCACAACTTGTGGTTTCTGGTCTATAATAGACCTAACTTCTCAGCAAAGCACATCTGTGTAGATAAATGCATTTGTAACTCTGAAAATAGGCATTGCTTTACATGAAGCATTCAATGCTGTTTCATCTACAAACAGCTTCTCTTATGACTGTTTGGTACCACATGAACTGCTCAAAAGTGTTCTGGACCCTGAGGACAAAGGTGCATGTCTGGGTCCAGAGTCAGTCCAGTTAAACCTCAAGTGATGGCCAGGACCCAGGGAGCCAGGCTAGAGGGGCTGTGGAAGCTGCAGTCTCCAGCCCAGGGTTCCTCTCCTCTGCCTACTGCCCTTTGTCTCTGGAGGAAACTTTGTCTTTGGCCAGAATCGGGCTAATCCATGCACTGAGTGTAGACATTGGGGTGGAGAGGAGGATGAGCTTGACTGAGGCTGAAACTGCTGTCCCCCTCTTCTAGGGTGTCCTGGTGGAGGCCAGGTGTGTATTTGTCACTAGACTGGAGGATTTTCTGGACCTGGCCTAACAACTCATCCACTGCCTTTGGGTTAATACTGTCACAACAAAACCTCAGATTAGGCAAGTTCACGTAATACTCTTTGAGGGAAGTTACTTAGATTCTAAGTACGAAGGCCTTCTGGTATTGATCCCGGGTGACAGCCATCAGGCAAAGCTTGCTCACAAGATGACCGTGCAAACAAGATTTACCATCAGGTGACTTCATGCTCGCTTAACACCCCAAACCAGAAAGCTCCATGTTCCCAGGTCTGTACCTGGGTTAGACAGTCAGGAGAGAGGAAATGGCTTGTCCACATGTGGCAAACTGACCTGGCCAGCGCCGCAGCAGTCCTGGTTGGGGCCAGCCCAGTGATGGCCTGGCAGAGCTGCAGCATCAGTACTTGGCCAGGGGTCCAGGCAGCACTTGCACATGGAAGACTGGAGGCCAAGTTGCATATACACCAGTCAGGCATTTCAAGGGAGACTTGCCCAAACACTAAAGCTTCAGATTTGAGGTATCAATAAAGTAACAAAGCCTAGAAGCTCGGGTATAAACCAAATCAGTCTGATGCAGGATGGAGAGTTTCAGCCTTGGACCCCTTTGCTTGTATGACGTAAAGCTACATCAATGTCAGCCACACAGAGGCAAAGGGCTCAGGCTGTGCTGTCTCCGCCTCAAGGCAGTTCATAAGAATAATTACTTCTGCTATTTAGAACAAAATAAGTGCATATGGTCTGAGGTTTTCACTCCTGGATTTTGCACAGGAGTACAAATGACCTCCAAAGGGTGCAAATTCCAGGTGCAAATGGGGTAGAGAGAGCAGTTCTGGGGGGAAAAGGTCACCCACCAGCTGAACAGCCCATAGAGCTGAAGAAGGTCCTACATGCTCTGCACTGGTGCCATGAAGATGCAAAGAAACCATTCTACAAGGGGAGAGGGCTCTCTAATCCAGCCCCCATCTCATCTCCGCCTCATCCGCACCCTCATCTTTTGTGTCAGCAAGGATGGAACCCAAGGCCCTGCACATGCTAGGCAAATACTACCCTGAGCTACATCCACGGCCCCCTTCATCCTGGTGTGTGTGTCCTTTCCACAGATGTCCTGAGCACCTACTATTGTACAGGGATGGCCACGTGACAATCCCCAGTTGTGGAGCTTTACAAGTCCCACCCTGGTGTACTGTTCACAGAAAACCCTACAGGCCACACACCTTCAGTCATAGCTTGCTCTTCTCACAGGGGAGATCAAATCTCTGAGAACATGATAGTAAGGAAGAATAAGATTATTCATAGGTACTTATATATCCATTACATTAAAAAAATCAGATTAGTATAATGTCAAAATAAGCATTTTGCCAAAAGTTTTAAATATTGATGAATGTGGTCAAAAGCTTATCAGACCAATGTATTAAAGTTGAACAACATGAAACTGCTGTTTCTAGGGATAAAAACAGTCAAATATTAGCATTTTATGTGGTTCGATGCGTGGATGATTTGTGTCCAGGGAAAGGGCTTCATTGTCTAGGATTCAGCAGTTACAGGATAAATACTTTATTTTAGAAAGCATCTGTGGGGCCAAAGCTGAGTTGAGGGGAGATTGCAGAGCTGATCACACATGGAGCCCCCAGTGTACCCGTCCTCAAGGATACCAGGCACCACCTTCCCCAGAGCACCTGTCTGTTCTCAGCCAGGCCCTATAGCAGCTCCTATCCAGGGCAAGTGCCCCACAGCCTGCCCTCTGAGTGCTGCATATATAGACTTTTTTTCAGTGCACGGTATATACTTGTGTCCAGGAGTTAAATTTATAGCTGCCATTCTAAAAATACTACTGTTAGAAAGTAAGTATCTTTCATTATAATTTCAGAATACAAAAAGGCATATAAAAGCTATAATCCTATATATCTGAGAAAAATTCTGAATAAAAAAAGTGGTAGCTTTTCCTTTCCTGTTTTGATATAAAGCAGCGGCTTCTAGAGTGGTCAACTCTGCCCCAATGCGCAAGCGTGGCATGACTGGTGCAAACGCAGTTCCTGCTGCGCGAGTCCTGTGTGTGCGATGAAGATTCCCACAGCCCAGCCGGGGGGCCTGATGCTTTGGACCTCTCCCATCATGGGCGCCCCAGAGGTGGCAGCTGACCACAGTCCAGTCCAAGTCACAGCACAAGGCTTTGGCGTGTGTGTTGGGGCCGCAGTTCTGGGGGAGCTGTGAGTGCCGAGCGGGATCCCACCTCCCTGCCCTGCAGCTCTGCTGTGGGGTGTGGATCTTTCTGGTGACCTGCGGAGCCAGGTAAGTTCTATTTCTTATTGGCAATTCTTCTTTTCCTTGTGGCCAACATGTCATAGAAAGGATCCCTACTGATGCTTGCTCTGGGGAAAAAAAAGTGAGCAAGTCAGGGCCTAGGACAAGCCCTAGACCTCCACTGCCCACCAGCCCAGGGCCTCCAAGACTAGAGAGGAGATGGAAATAGGGTAGCTTCTCCAGCAGCCCCTGAGCTCCTACAGACAGAGAACATTTGTCCCGTGAGTCCCCAAGGCAAGCACTCACTCTGCTAGACCTTAACTCACTTGATGGATTTCATCCATTCCTCCTTCTCCTCTGGGCTCGGGGCAGAGATCCGGTACACCACGTGGTTCCCCTCCACAACTCGGCCATCCGCTTCTGTTTTGCAGGCCTTGATGACCTGCCCTTTGTGACTGGGATTGTAAAGCTCAAAGCAGTTCTGGTGGAGAGAAGGGGGAGGATGTCACGGGGGGCCAGACCAGGCTGTCTGCCATCAGGCTCCTTGCCTGGGGAGTGCCACCCCGTGGGTAGAAAGAAGCTGGCAGGAGAAAGCCACTTACAGGCTTCCGCGGGTCCTCCACCTCCCTGATGCTGAGGTTTTCCAGTGGGATGATTCCCCTAGGCTCTTTATCCTACAAGAGAAAGATGCACAGCAGCCTCAGCAGACCATAGGCGAGGGCCCCTCACCAGGGGGGGCTCTGGTGACTGCTGGAAGGAGGAAGAGTGGGCTCCCCACTTACCGTTGTGTATTCAAAGTAGTAGAGGCAGTTATCCGTCAGGATGAACCAGCGCCGCTTCCAGGTCTTCACACGCCCCCCTAGGAGCAGAAGGGCCCCATGAGTCAGGTGCTCAGGGTTGTGGAGCCCGAGGCCTGAGGGCCCAGGACCCACACCAGCTACTGCATTTGCAGAAAGACCCCAGGAGCCAAGCTTGGGCTTTAGTTTTCTCTTTCGTGAAAATCTTTATATTCTGACCAAGTTAGCAAAGTCAGGACAAGCTGTGTGGCCTGGCCGTCCAGTTGGGATGGCTGGGTGCATGGCTGGGGCCCACATGCACCCCCCACCCAGCCCACACAGGTATCCTCTCCATGGCCACCCAGGGTCACCCTAGATAACACAGCACTCTCAAATCTGCTTCCTGGAAAAGTCATAATGGATGGGTGCAATCTCCCCACATGAGATGATAACATGATGAAGTCAACGCCGCTCACCCAGGTCTATCCAGGGCTAATCCTGTTTCGTCCAAGTGTTATCACATTACTGGGTACTTTGGGCAGCCCTGGGATCCATCAAAGTCAATTACCCCTTGGCTCAGGGAACTATTAGATTGAATTAACTTAATCTTTTAACAAGATCTGGAGCACACACTACACACATGCACACACAGTCCGTCTGATCTGTTAGCCCTGATGCTCAGCACAAGCAACTTCAACTGCTGGCCTTGGCTTCTGAGGTGAAGTCAGGAGGTGTCGGGGCGGGTGGAAGTAAAGGAGGGAGAAAGAAAACACTGCTCACCACAACAGACCCAAGTGCTATGCGGATGCAGGTGAGAAGGGACCTACCTTCCTTTCCCCAGGGTTCCCCAGTACTGATGGGGTGACAGGGAGCTGGAAGGGTTGGGGTCTGGGATCCCTCCTCGGGACTGGGAGCACTGTGTGGGGCATGGAGACAGAGCGGTGGAAGGAAAGGCGTGGGGGAAAGGTGAGGGTCATGTCCCGGGGCTGAGGCAGGAGCTTCCCTGACTGGGCTTCAGCTTGTGGAGACCCAGGATGAGGACACCAGAAGGAAAGTCAGTTTGGGAGGGAGGGAGCCTGACCCCACAGGCAGAGGCCCTGCAGGCAGGGGGTGTCTCCAGAGCCCAGCTGGGACCTCTCCCTCATCCCTGCCCCACTCACTGGACCTTCAATCTGTCCTTCCTCGACAGCCTAAAACAGATCAGGAGTCCAGTTGCTACGAAAGCAAGGGCCAGGAAGCTTTGGCATCCAGTTGTCCCTCCCTCTCCCCAGACAGACTTTCCACCCCGCTCTGTCCTCACCAACACCACACCACTTCCATCAGTCAGAGTGTCTGAGATTCCTGATGCACCTCTGCCATCCCCTCAGAATGTCCCTGGGCCCCTCCCCCCACCAGATCACACCCTCATGCCACAGGCTCTGTGCTCAGGCTCCTCTGGCCTGGAGTGACATTCCTTCCTCTCAGCATCTCCACGCCTGGGTCCTGTTCCCCAGCTCCTGCACACAGCTTCACCATGGAGTCTCCTGCTCCCATGGCCTGGGCCTGTCTCATCCATCTTGACAGGACGACCATTCCTTATGGGGGCCTGATAGGGAGCCCATTCTGCATGGGAGTCCTAACAGGGTGCCCCACAGGAAGCTGGTTCCATATAGGGGACATGATCCCATTCCATATGGGGTCCAGGTGACACTCGGGGCAACCTGCCTTATCTCAAAGTTTTCCAGCAACAAGGGGACAGAAGGACATTCTGTGCCCTACGATCACGAGAAGAGGACAATGCTAATTCCTTCCAGGTGTCTCCCCAAGTCCCAAGGCCCTGTGCCACATCGGCTGATGGCAGCCTCTACCACTGCATCTATCACCATCTAAAGCTCTGTCCCTCGGGCACTAGTGCGTTTTCGGAAGCTGCCATGGTGCCCCCACCCACCCAGCACCTGCAGCAACCAGAGGCGTCTTTTCAAAAGAGCCTACTGGTCACATCCCTCCCCTGCTTTATACCCCCAGAGGTTCTGCTACACTCAGTGTGAAGACCCAAATTCTGCGGCCCTGAGGGCTCCTGTGCTCTGCTGCCCTCCCAGCCACAGGCCCTGCCTCCACATGGCTGTGGGGGTCCTGGAGCTGTCTGTGATCCCAGGCAGCTCCTGTCCAGGGCCTGCTTTTCCAGCACACCCCGCCACGGCAGGCCATCAGGGCTGCCTGCTAGCTGTTTGCCCCTAGAATGCCCATCTCCACTGTCACTGACCTGCAGTCATCACTGGTCATGGAGATGGATCTGCAGGAAAGAACCCTCAGCTTTGTGCCCTGGACCCCACTCCACTGCTTCTCCATTCAGTGCTGTGTCTGGAAAACCCACCCCCGTCCAGTCCTTGGTCAGTGGAGCCTCTCAAGCCAGGGCCGCAGGAGGCCAGACTGAGGTATGTCATAAGGGTTGGGCCCAAGTCTACCAGCCCAGGACACCTTTCAGCTCAGAGGTAGGCCTGGCAGGGATGGGCGACGCTCCTGGCCTCAGAGCCATGGCAGGTTCTGCTGAGAGATGCCAGAAGGCCCAGCCCACACCATCCATCCCCACGCTCACCTGCAGATAGGAGCCAGCTTCTCCTCAACAGGTAAGCACCACTTTGATTTGTAAATCTCCATCTCCACTGCTCCCAGGCCTGTGAATGCACGCACACACGAAAGGCACGCGTGGCACAGGCATGCGCACACTTTCCCCTCCATGGCAGCTCAGCTCTGACCACGTTCTGTGTTTTTGATATGAGTCACTCTCGAAACCCATTGTCTTAAATTCCTCAAGCCAGGCCTGTGCACTATGCCTAAGCTCCCCCACACCCAGCCTTGAGCAGCAGCTGCTCTGCAGCTAAATTTACACTGTGCGTGTGACATTCTGTCCAAATGCACATTTGGAAACCCACATTCTGGAGTTTTACACTTGTCTAGCCAGGTGCCTATGTCCCTGTGATGTCTGCCCTGTACTGGGAGGGTTTCTGCATGCCTACTCGGTACAGGGTCACACCTGGAGGCTGACCTGAGTCACCAGACTTGTCTTTTGGCACATATATTATTCTCTTCGCCCTTTGGGGACCAATACCATTGGATGTACCTAGTGGCCAGGCCTGGGCTCCTCCACACAGTTGGGGCAGGCCCACAGGCAGAGGCACCTCCAGGCCCCAGGAGCTCTGCAGCGAGCCTGCTGTCATTCAGCGGCTCCAGGGCCTGCTGTGCACAGTGTGGGCCTGCAAGGCCTTGGCCTCCGGCTTTCCTGAGGAGACAGCAGATACAGGGGCTGCGGGGCAAGAGAGCTTCAGGTGCCAATGCTGCAGAGCAGCACCTGTTGCCCAGGCAGACCCCATGCCCCACTGGCTGACCACTGAGTTGAGGCCACATTTGGGTGCATGGGGAGTTCCTGGCACCCCACCTGTGCCCAGGACAACTGCACAGAAACACAAGCGCTCTGTGCACTCCCTCCATGGCCTTCTTATCTGCTCGTCCAGAAAACACGCTACAGACACAAGAAGTCTTGTGCCTTTATTTCATTCACTTATTTATGTCTTCAGAGCCGGCCTCCTCCCCAGGAACACAGAGGCCACCTGAATGGCTGCCACTGTCCCTCAAGGGGGCACTCTTGGGCAATGCAAGAAATGGAAGGAAGGAGTTTAATCCAGTGAGTGCCCTACTTATTACGGCTGAGTGCAACTGCTGGTGACTCCAGATGCGGTCCTCCTGCTGCCCTACTCCAGGACACAAGCACCACATGACTTGGAAGGTCTGGGGTATATCTGCTGTCACTCAGGCATCTGAGTCCAAGGCTACAGCACTCAGTATTCAGGCAAAGATCCAGAATCCTTCTAAACACTGGCACAGCCAGAGAAGAGCTAGAGAGCAATGCCAAGGTTGAAGACCCCAGTGGGAACAGGCCCATGGAAACAGCCCCAGCCCATTAGCTCAGGTGGCCTGAGCCTGTCACACTGTCATCATGCAGCATCTCATCTTCCCTTCATGAAAAAATAATAAAAATCACCAGAATTCTAGCCCTCGGGTCTGACAGGCCACACAGCAATCATCTGTTCTCAGGAGTACCTCAAGAAAATACAGCAGTCACATCTTGTGGCCTTTACTGTCAACGTAAGGTAAAAATCCACCCCCCCCCAGAGTCAAAATAACCCCTAAAAATTGCTACAATTGCCCATAAAGTGTAAGAGCCATTAGACTTGTCACCAGTGAGAAAGCCTTCAGAGCATCCCCAGGATCTTTCCGGGAGCTGTAAACATGCAGTGCTTGGTTAGTATGGGGAGACTGGTGAGGCTGTGGGACAGGCTGGTTACCAGCTTCTTCACTGCTGCAGGACCTAAAGATGGGGCAGGGGTGAGGGGCGAGCTTGTTCCCACACAGTGTCCCCATGCGTTCCTGGTCCTAGCCGATGCTGACCCTGTCCCTGGGGTGGGTGCCAATACACCACACCGTGCACAACGCTGACCCAGCAAGTCCAAAGCCAAATGGATCAGATGAATGGCAGCCACAAACCAGAGCTTCACACAGACCAACGTGGGGGAGAGAAACCGAAGGAGGAGTGAGCCGCTGGGGAGGGGAGGAAGCCACTGGGTACCTACCTCCTAACGCAGGACAAGCAGGGACAGCCCGTCACAGAACAGAAAGGTGGGAGCCACAGGCAGAAGGAAAACAACAAGAAGGCACATTTAAACCACTCGTCAAAAATCACAGCCACGCCAAACCAAGAGAAAGGCACACAGGTTCTTTGGAGATAAATGCACTTGCTTCTCGTACAGAAAACTGCCCTGGATTTACATAAATGCTAACTCAGCAGTTTTCTGGGATAGGTTGTGCAGTCCCTGCCATGGACACAGCAAGTAGGGCCTCACTCTGAAAGGCCACACTTCAGGGAAGCAGCCAACGGCCTGGCACGTGCGGCTGCTGAGAGCAGGCTTTGGCTCAACGGAATTGTCTTTTAATGTTGCTGCCAAGTGGTAAGGGGCTTTGCTACAAGGAGCTTGGGAGGACCCCACGGGAGCTGCTGCGTGGGCTGAGGGGCCACGAGCACAGGTCACACACAGCAGGCTCACCCAGCTTCAGAAGCCAGCCTTCCCGGTCTGGGTTGAAGAATGTGTGTGTCAAGTCATTCCCATCATCCTCTGGGATCTTAAACGGTTCATTCTTAATACTTTCATACAAGTTCTGTAAGGAGGAGAAACAACAGCAAGTTCAGGGTTTCAAACAGGAGAAGTAACTGCCCTTTCTCTCTCTCTCCAGTGAAGAAGGTGCATAAAGTGAGCAGGACCAAGAAAACAAAAATATGCCCAAATACGCAATTCAAAACCATGAGTCACCAGGTATGGTGGTCCCTGCCTGTAATCCCAGCTCCTCAGGAGCCTGAGGCAGAGACCCTGTCTGAAAATACAAAAATAAGTGATAAAATTAGATAAATAAATCAGAACTGCCAATTTTCATACATTTTGATAAATTTGAGGAAGGAGGAGAAACAGCAAGATGCAGTTCAGAAGCAGGGTTCTGAAGCTAGACACAGTGGCACATGTTTATGATCCCAGTGACTCGGGAGGCTGAGGTAGGAGGATAGCAGTTTAGCTTCAGCAACTCAGCCAGGCCCTGTCTCAAAATTAAAAATAAGTAAAAAGGGCTAGAGATGTAGCTCAGTGGAAAAGTACTCTTGAATTCAATCCCTGGTACCACACACACAAAAAAAAAAAAAAAAAAAGAAAAAAGAAAAAAGAAAAGAAAGAAAGAAAAAAAGAGCGAGCAGCAGGGTCCTGTGGGACTCACCCTCAGCAGCTCCTCTGGGAGGTCCCCTCCCTCGTTGATGCCGCGATTCATGGTGATGAACCGCTCTGCAGTGGGTTTGTCACGCACATTGTGGTTGTGAAGGCTGGTGTTGAGCATGATGATTGCAAATGACAGTACATAGCATGTGTCTGCAACAAGTCAGCGGACAGCAGAGGGCTCAGCAGCCTGAACCAGGTGGAATTTCTACATGGAGAGTGTGGGACCCACAAGGACGACCCATGCAGGAACCTATGTGCTGGCCCTGCCACGCATGCCTCGCGGGAGGGCCCTGGGTCTACCCCCTGAAGTGGCAGCTCTCTGCAGAGTGGGATGGGTCTGATGCATGGCTACAAGCAGGACCCTCCTGGCTCAGGGAAGGCAGGTTCTAGGAACAAGCTTGAAGGGTGGGGGGCTAGGCCACAAGCTGGCCACTGACCTGTAGACTGGAAGACTCCAGGGTTGCACAGGCAGTAGCGTGAAGCAAAGGCCTCCATCATGCGATCAATTTTCTGAGCCTCTCCTGGAAGCCTGAAGCTCCACAAGAACTGCCTGTAGAGAGATGGACATTCACCCCATGGCCATGCTAAGGATGGACCCAGCCTGGAACCTAGAGCCTGCCCAAGCAAAGACGTTCTCTCCTGGCCTGAGATGCCATCCTGGCAGGGGTGCCAGCAAGGAAAGATTCAGTTTCCTTCTGCTTGGTAATTCAAGACAGGCTCACTGACTGCTCTGCCTTTTTATGATACAACCAACTCTTCAGCAAGGTCTGCTGCCACTGCCTTTAAAACATCCAGGATGCCAGCACTTCTTGCCCTTAATTGTCACCACCATCTGCACCCATCACATGGCCACATGAGCCCTCCCACATCCCCATGCCTACCTCCACCCACAATGGCAAGGTCAGAGTCAGCAGGACAGACTTGATGGCCCATCCACACCATTGGGGCCACCTACAGAGTCTGTTGCTACCTAGATGGGGCAGACACACTTCTACTTTAGGGATCAGGCCCAAGGTAATCAAATGCTTCTGTTCTCAGATGTCCCTTCTCACTGAGGTCTCCATGGGGCTGCCCTACCTAAAATGGCAAGCCCTGCACCAATACTCCTGTCCCTTTCTTTGCTTTCCAGCTGCAAGGCACCCAGTACCACCTATTACCTGTCAGCCCTAAGCCCTGAAGGCAGAGATGTAGCTGTCCTGCACCTTGGGGTCCCACAGCCAGCCCGACTTCAGCACAAGGATGAGGGATGAGATTGGAACTATAAACTCCAACTAATTTCTGGACTGTCCTTGGTTGTAAGGTGCTGCTCCTGCAGTGATCAGATGCTGCTCCCCTCCCTCTGAGCTTTTCTTCTCTGCAGGTCCCATAAATGCCCTCACTCTAGAGACTCCTGCCACTTGGGTCCCTCTTTTTGAGGACTTGCTTCAACAGCTTCAGACTCAATATCCTGCCTGATCCCAGGATATCACGACAGCTGGCTTGGGCTGGGCCACTGCTGACTTTCTCCCTCTTTGACCCATGTTGGTCAGCAACACACCCCCACCAGGACAAATGATCTCCTGCCCTGCTCCACAGAATGGATGGCTTCAGTTAGCCCCACACCTCTGACTTCCTCAGAATAAAAGCCCAAAGCCTCCAGGTAACTCCTCAAACTAAAGGAGCACCCAGGGGCCCCTCCCTGCTGCTTGCTCCATCAGTGCACCGTCCTCGGCCCTAAGCCACCCTAGCCTTCCCTGCCACCAGCCTGAGGACCCCTTATCCTGTCTCACTTTTGCTGCCATAGCAACTAGCTCCTGATAAGCCATGAAACATAGGTTTTAGAAATATCTATTATCCCTTCTCTCTCTGCCCCATGTAAGCTCTATGGGGCACTCCCAAAGACCAGCAGCCCCACTCTCGGGCACACTGGGATAGGCCCAATGACAGAAGTGCGACAAGCCAAGCAGCACTCAAGGACCCACTGGAGTAATGCTGAAGTGGCAGCTTTCTGCCCTCTCCTGGCCTTTTGCTATGGATCAGAAACTGGCCAAAATAAATGGCACCACAGAGGTGATGCTGGCTGTGCTGTGGACGTACCCGCCACACTCCCAGGCCTGTGCCTTTCTCTGGATGAAAGGTTTTCAAAAACTGAGTCTGAAAATGGAAAGCAGGGCTGCAGGCCTCCTGTGTCTGCGCACCGTCAGTGCACGGCTCAGCCCCGGGTTGACCCTGTGTTATGAGCATCACACAAAACACCACGCATATTTCAGTCTGCAGCTGAAATGAGGCCACAATGTAAATAAGACCATGTAAATAAGACCAGAGTACACGGAAGGAGGTCTAGAATGTGAACAGACAAGACATGGCTATGATAGCCTCAGCTCTGGAGCAGGACAGGTGGCTCCCACCAGAGGCCTGTCCCTGCCACCGCTTCCTACATAGGTCAGTGGGTCAGAATTAGTACCTAGACCAGATGAAGAGCCATGCCACCCAGCCAGGACACAACAGATAAAGATAAAGAGACAGCCACCAAGATTGCAGGGCCAGCTGTTCAAGTGGGCATTCAGGGAGTATACTGTGGGTGCCAACAGGGCTGCACAGAGTGTCTAAGCACTGTCCTCCTCCATCCACCCTGTGTGACTCAGAGTGACACTGGCTTTCCTTAGACAAGACAGGCCAGAGTGTGGCCTCTAATGGTGGGAGATCTACATCCTCCTGGGAACAATAAGGGTAACCCCCTTGTGCTTGGTGCTCAAGGCCAAGTCTAGTGGAAAATGGGTTGGGGTGATGTTAAGGTCACACCAACTACAGCATGCAGCAGATATGTGAAGAAAACACACACACACTCCTGCATGTCATTCAAAATGATGGACAACAAAGAAACCATGAGCAGGATGCAGAACTGGAAGTTACAAGGAGGAAAGAGTGATTTGCATCCCTGTGTGCATGTTCCAATTCCTGTACAGGGCTGCAGAATGTCATGCAGCAGAAGGAACATGGGAATGAGCAGCCAGTGTCTGTAGGACTTGCAGGCTCCCTCTGAGTTCCTTGGAGTGAATCAACAGCCACTACTGCTCATGACTCCTCTGGTCTATGCCCAGGGTGCAGCCAAACACTAACCTTAAGGCTTGTACAAGGTTGAGATCAGCAAATTCATGGAGTTCCACAAAAGCCTGAAGAACTTTGATATTAAATTCATCCCTAGGAAAGAGTGGAAATAAATTCAAGTCTAATGTATGTTATCTCAATGACTTCAAAAAAAAAAAAGACAAGTCCTACAGCAAGATTTTGCAATTTTAATTTTATATGACTACAAGTGAAAATTGTCCTCTTACTATAAAATTTGTTCTCAGGCTTAAAACAAAACAGAATTAATAGGATTTTAGGAGTGTACTTTCATAGTAGGTAAGAGTCAGGAAGAAGAACATTAAAATCTCCCCAAAGGACAACCATCATGGCCAATCGGTTCCACTTAGATGCCAAGCTGTGAGGCCTACCCAGTGCTTAGTGTGCACCCTGAAACCTTTAAAATGGCCCCATGAGCAAGGCCTATTATTACCCCCATTTCACCAATGGGGGTTTTGAGGCTCAGAAAAGTAAATTAACTTGCTCAAGGCCATGAACCATAAGGTACAATACTGGGCTCAGAAAGCAAAGCTTGGGAAAGAAACAATACCTTGTATTAGCTTTTAAAAACTAATCATGAAAATAAATGACAACAAAAAGGAAATGACTTAACAATGTGTGCCATTGGCTCTTAACTGAAGGATGCTCCACAGGACCTGGTCACAAGATATATTGAGGATACCCCAAGTATCAAAATGCTGGGGTTCTACCTGCGCCCACCACTGGCCACCTGAGGGTAGCAGAGAGTTGGAATTAACGTAGGCCAGTATTCTCAAAACACTTGTACTTTACAAGAGACACCTGTGACTTGCCCTAGTTGAGAGAGCCTACAAAATGCAGCCTGGCCAGCATGGTGGCATATGCCTGTAATTCCAGCAGCTTGGGAGGCTGAGGCAGGAGGATCGCCAGTTCATAGGCAGCCTCAGCAAAAAGCAAGGCACTAAACAATTCAGTGAGACCCTGTCTCTAAATAAAATACAAAATAGGGCTGGGGATGAGGCTCAGGGTTGAGTGCCCCTGGGTTCAATCCCTGGTACTAAAAAAATGCAGCTTGAAAACCAGTGTTCACTCTCTAGGCAAGTTCACTGACTGTGTCAACACCACAGCCTATGCCAGCGTCAATACTAGACATGGCTGTGGGCAAGTGCCATCTGTTCACAGGCAGCTCCCCCATCTGGGGCTTGCGGGGTGAAAGAGGGAGGGAAGGATAAGTGCAAGGGCACCAAGGTCATGTCCCAACTTCTCTCCATCTTTCTCTTTGGGATCTGCATGTGGAAGGTGTGGTGTTGCAGTCTCTGATGTGGTTTCAAGGTCCTGATGGCTCCTGTCTGTCCCAGGAGGGCAGTGACCACAAAGACCCTGTCCTAGGAGACAGGAAGAAAAACTGAGGATCCAGCCCTGTCTGACAATGCACCTGTCAGCTGATTCCCACTAAACTGGCACAGTGGCACAGTACAGGGCACACTCAGAGTGAAGGTCTGTGGGTATACATGCCTGCTGTTGCTGAGTGTGGGAGGAGGTAGCATCAGCTAGGTTACGGGGATAGTGAGTGGCAGGCCTGTGACCACATTAGCCACTGCCACCTCAGGGGTCAGTCTTAGAGATATAAAGGCAAAACCCCACTGCCAGAAGGATGCCTGAGCTCCACAGAGGGAGCAAGCTTGCCTGTCATGGCTCACAAGTTGGTGCAAGCTGGTGTGAAGCACCCCAAATGCAGGTGTTGAATATAAGGTGGGATTCCCATCACTCCTCTTCCACCAGTCCCCTGTTCCCTACTCTGAGATGGAGCAACCAAATCTCAATCTTTGCCTTACCCTCTTGGCTATCCACCACCATGCCATGTGGATTTCAATACAGGCTGAACATCTCTAATTAAAAGATCTAAAATCCATTATTTTTGAGTATCATTGGTGCTCTGAAAGTTTAAGAATTCAGGGAATTTAGGATCTTGGATATATCCTAGATATGTCCTTATTATATTTATATATGACTTGCAGATATCTTTCTCCTAAAGGACTATCTCTTTACTTTCTCATTGATGTCATCTGAAGCACAAAAGTATTTCTGTTGTTTGTACTTTTGATGTTGGATCTAAGAAATCCTGGCATAATTCAAGGTTATGAATATTTACCTGTATGTTTTAAGTGTTTTGTGGTTTTGCTTCTTACACTTAGATCTTTGATCCATTTTAACTGTACTGGTGAGGGGTGCAACACCATTCTTTTGCATGTGGTTTTCAGTTATCCCAGCACCATTTGTTGAAAAGACTATTCTTACCCCAGTGAATTGCCTTGGAAGTCTTATTCAAAGTTATTTAACAGTAAATATTAGGGTTTATTTTTTATTCTAAATTATATTCTATGACCTTCTGTATGTCCATCCTTACATCAGTACCACATTCTCTTGATTAGTGCAGCATTAGTCTATTTTGTAATCAGGAAGTGTAAGTTATCCAAATCTGTTCTTCTTTTCTTTTTTAAATAACTTTATTTTGTTTATTTATTTTTATGTGGTGCTGAGGATCAAACCCAGGGCCCTTTACATGCTAGGCAAGAGCTCTACCGCTGAGCCACAACCTCAGCCCTCCAAATTTGTTCTTATTTAAGACTGTGGCTATTCTGGATCCTTGAAGTTCCAGATGAATTTTACAATGAGCTTGCCAACTTCTGCAAAGAATTCAGCTGGAATTCTGATAGGGAGTGCATTTGATCTACAGATCAATGTGGAGAGTATTGCCATTTTAGCAATATTAAATTTTCTGACCCATGAACATGAGCTGTCTTTCCATTTTTTTTATCTTTTCTTTTTAACAATGTTTTAGTTTTCAGAGTAAATATTTTGTGTATCCTTTGCCAAACATATTTCTAAATATTTTATTATTTTTACTGTTATTTATAATGGAGCTGTTTTCTTGTTATCCTTTTCAGTTTGCTAATTGCTACTGAAACCCAGCTATAATCCAGCTACATGGGAGACTGAAGTTGAGAGCCTGAGAAACTTAGCAGACTCCTGTCTTAAAATAAGAAATAAAAAAAAGCTGAGGGTGTATCTCAGTGGTAGAATGCCCCTGGGTTCAATCCCCGGTACTGAAAAAAAAAATTCAGTTTTGTATATTAATTTTGTATCCTGCAATCTTACTGAACTTGTTCAGTTTTAATAGTTTTTCAATGACCCCCTTCAGATTTTATACACACGTGGATCATGTTATCTACAAATAAAAACAGTTTCATTTGCCAAGTGTGATGATGCATGTCTATAATCCCAGCAGCTTAGGAGGCTAAGGCAGGAGGATTGCAAGTTCAAAGCCAGGATCAGAAACTTAGTAAGGCTCTAGGAAGTTCAGTGAGACCCTGTCTCTAAATAAAATATAAAAAGAGCTGGGGATATGGCTCAGTGGTTGAGTGCCCCTATGTTCAATACCTGGTACCAAAAAAAAAAAAAAAGAAGAATTAATTGTATTTCTTCCCAGTGTGGATGTTTTTATTTTCATTTTCTTGTCCAACTGCCCTGGCTAAAAATGCCAGTACCATGTTGAATAGCATAGTGAAAGCCAACATTCTAGTCTTGCTCTTGATCTTAATTATGCTAAGCTACTTTTCACAGGTGCCCTCCATCCTGTTGAGGAATTTCCTTTCTAGTCTTAGTTTTTTTGAGTGTCTTTATCATGAAAAGCAGTGTTGAACTTTGTCAAATGCTTTTTCTGCAGTTATGGGAATGATCATGAGTCAGATTCTTTATTCTACTGATATATTATATCTTTGACTTTTGCATGCTGAATTAACTTTGTACTGGTGGAATAAATCGCATTTGGTGTGTAATCCTTTTTATTTATTGTTAGATTTGTTTCCTAAAAAATTATTTTTTAAAAAATATTTTTAAGTTGTTGATAGGCCTTTATTTATTTATTTATTTATTTTTATTTATATGTGGTGCTGAGAATCGAACCCAGTGCCTCTCACATACCAGGCAAGTGCACTACTGCTGAGCCACAGCCCCAGCTCCCTAAAAAATTATTGAAATATTGTATTTCCATATTCTAAGAGATACTGGCCTGCAGCTTTGTTTTCTTGTGATGTCTTTGGTTTTGGTCTCAGGTAGTAGAAAGCTCACAGAATGAGTTGGGGAATGTTCTTCTGATTAAGTATTTTTAATAAAAAGCTGGAAACAGAAACGATCTGATTGAGCAACCACTGGGCTTTTAACAATATTCTCTTTGGCCCTTGACAAGTCTATTTAGGCACACTTGGCATGTACTGCTTAAACCTCTGCTAAGCACAGTAAGTGGACTGTTGGTGAAAAAGGTTGGGAAAGTAAGTTTGACCTGCTGCTTTCTACTTTAAATATGAACAATCAATTCTTACCTTCATTCACACCCCACGTGATATGGGGAAGAAAATCACTGAGACATCTGGGGTATTTATGGGCCAAACTTCAGAAGACCAACCGGTTATTCAAGATTTTGAGAAAGGCAGCAGTGCTGTCAGTTGTCTCGATTCCCCAAGGGGCACAGATCTCACCTGGACCCAAGTGCCCCCATACCCATCCTACCACACAGTACACAAGAGGAATAATTGACTGTACTAGGTTCCCCCTGTATGGGGGTCAGCACATGCAACCCATGCTTGTGGCTAAGGAGCTGCAAGAACCCCAAAATGGAGGGTAGGCCCAGGTGCAGCTGCCCATCCTCCTTTAACTTACCTCTCACCCAGATAGTCCCCAATGACAGTCTTATTTAGGCCTTCTCCTTTATAGAGGAACTGGGCGACGTCTTCTGGGGAACTCTGTAGCAGGTCATTCTCTATTAGAAACTGAATTCCCTGAAGATCATAAGACAGAAAATGATGATTAGGAGTGCCACTCAAACTTAATTTTCAAGGATGGAATTATATTCATTTGGTCAGAGCAAAAATACCAGAGACCCACTAAACTTCTGACTTTCACAGTACCATGCTACATTTCATCCAGCCAAGAAAAGCACATACCTCCACCCTGGGAACTAAACAGGTTAAAAGACAGATAAATGGGTTGCTGAACAAACCACTTTAAGTGATTGTTAGATATTCTAAAAGCAGATGTAATGTAATAATGATGTTGGATTTCTTAAGCCTGGGAAATGATTTGTTTTGTGTCGGGGTACTCCTCACATGAGATGGATGCTGCTGGCTGGGCAACCTAACACCCAACCTAAATGCCTTTCTCTCTCTCATCCTACACTAGATAATCACTCTCTCAGCTGCCCTTGAAATTCAAAATGACCTTGTTACCACAGATTTGACCAAATAGTCATAAATGAAGCCCATGACAAACAGCTGGGAAACATTTTGATTTCCTGGTAAAAGAATTCCCAGGAGCTAGCACTGCTCTTCTTCCTTCTTCCTAGTTTGTACAAGGATGTGATGACCTGAGCCAGAGCAGCCATCATATGAGGGAAAGGCTAAGATGAGCACAGACACCTTGTTCCTGTCACTTAGGAGCCATGGACTACATAGCAGCTATGTGAGAAGATAAATATCTGTTGTATAATCAAAAGGCAATTTTTTTGGCTAAAATTTCTGTTACCTGAGACCAAAAACACATTAACTGATATGCTACCACTGATCTTACACCAGCTGAAACTGATGCATACTTTAAGGACCTACAGAGCAGAGCTGACAATTTCAAAAAGCAAGAAGCTACCTCTAGCCTGACCCAGTTGCGCTCTGTCTCAGGGGAACCCCAGGGACCCAACATGATAGCAAAAGTTTCTCTCTGGCACAGTTTCAGAGCTGGTTCCAAGATGCACATTGGCCAGGCCAGTAAGGGAACAGGGGATTCTGGTATCTATCTGCCAGGAGGCTGTTCCTACCAATTTAGACAGGCTTTTCTAGCTAAAATTCCCAGGCTCAAGGCCAGGCTTCCTCATACCCACATAGTCCATCTGGAGATTTTTTTTTTTTTTCTCAAATACATGATTGTCTATAGCAGTCTATTTTAGAGTCTCCAAAAACTGGAAAAATCAACCAATAATAAGGCAGATAAACAGGGCTGGGGTTGTAGCTCAGTGGTAGAGCGCTTGCTTCATATGCGTGTGGTACTGGGTTTGATCCTCAGCACCACATAAAAATAAATAAATAAAATAAAGATATCATGTCCATCTACAACTAAAAGAAAAATACATATTTTTTAAAAAGGCAGATAAACATGTTCTGATGGATACATGATGAAATAATAACTACAATGAAATGGAATGAGCACTCATTACCATGAAAGCTTCTCGCAGACATGAAATACAGGAGCTTATTTGTTTGGTACTGGGGATTAAACCCAGGGTAGCTTTACCACTGAGCTACATCTCTGGCCCTTTTTATTTTATTTTTAAAATATTTGTTTATTTACCTATTTATTTATTTATTTTTGGTGGTGCTGGGGATTGAACCCAGGGCCTTGTGCATGCAAGGCAAGCACTCTACCAACTGAGCTATTTCCCCAGCCCGAGAATGAGTGAGTATGAATGTGTATCCGGAATCGGCTAGCTCCCTGCCCTGGCCATGTGAGGATTCAGTAACAAGGCAGCTGTCTGCAATCTGAAAGAGGGGCCTCACCAGGCCCCCATCATGTTAGCACTCTTGTCCTGTAGCCTTGTAGCCTCCAGCACTATGAGAAAATAAATACCTGTTGTTTGAGCCATAGTCTATAGCCTTAGTGAACCCAAACTAAGTGCTACAGCCATAAATCTCTGAAACCATGAACCAGTCTAAAAGCAAATAATTTTGATAATTTTTCATCCACATTGCAGGCTTAATGTGCCTCTACATTTACTGAGCAACATGATTACAAATAAGTTGTTGAACAGAACCAGTTAAATTAGTATAAAAATGTCTTTTTGGTGAAAAGGGACACAAATGAAGCCTATTCAGCAATTTGCCACAACCTGATTAAATAAATCCTAAAAGGGACATAAATGAAGCCTGTTCAGCAATTTGCCATAACCTGATTAAATCCTTACTTCCTTGGATGTGGCGAGCAGCCACCTTGTGAACACTGGATTGTCTGGATTCGGAGCTCTCTACCAACCAACCACAGGGTCCCACCCAGCTCAGCAAAGTAGTAAGTTTATGGTTTGGACCTGAAATGTCCCCCCAAAGTGCATGTGACCTAAGAGGCAGCAGTGTTCAGAGGTGGGGACTTTGAAAGATGACTGGATGATGAGGGCTCTGATCTCCTCAATGGGTGAATCCATTGCTGAATTCATAGTTTAATGGATGCTTGGGAGGCAGTGGAAACTTAGGGGTAGGACCTAGTCAGAGAGAGTTGTCCTTGGCATGCCCTTGAAGCCTATATCTCCCCAGCCCCTTCCTCTCTCTGCTTCCTAGCTGCTGTGATGTAAGCAGCTCTGTGTTCCACCACACGCTCCCTGCCATGATGTTCTGTCTCACCACAGGCCCACAGCAATAGGGCGAAGCAATCGTGGACTGAAACTTTTGAAACCATGAACCAAAACAAACCTTTCTTCCTTTAGTTTTTCTCAGGTATTTTTCACAGCAATGGAAAGCTCAGTAACACAAGTGGTTATAGGCACTGAGTCATGAGTCTTCCTTGCTCATGATAGTGGGGTGTTTCTTAATTGTCCTGCGCTTTTTCCCAAACTGTGAGACAAGAATTAAAATGGAACCTCCCTACTTTATAAGGTTGCTGTAAGGATTAAGTATATTAATTAAAGTGCTTCCTTCACATAGTTCCTGGAAAACAGGAAGTTCTCAGTGTTAGCCCTTATTATAAATCTGACACATGGTACATGAAAAGTGAGAGGACAAGCAAGAACCCACAGAGAAGATGTCAAAAGTATGAGGTGAGTTCACATTCATGAAACTGAAGCCTGATGCACAGGGGTAGCATCACTTTAAGAAACAAAATCAGTGTTTATTTATCTGCATGTTCATGAGACTTGAATTTATTTACAAGAGGAATAATTGACTGTACTAGGTTCCCCCTGTATGGGGGTCAGCACATGCAACCCATGCTTTTGTAGCAGAGTATGCTACACTGTGCTATACTTGGGCCCCTTTAAACATGAAGTCCAGTTTCAAAACATTCACCTTTGCAAAGCACCCTGGGATATTTCCCAATGCTTGTGAAATCTGCTGATAATTTAACTCAGTAAACTCAACTTCTAAAGGAAAACAAAAACAAAAACTTACTAACCCCAAAAATGGAATCATTACCAAATGCACAAAAATCATTCCAATTGACAACTCCATTCCATTTTAGAGTTGATTTATGCCTCAAGAGCAGAGAATTAGAAAGCAACTGGAAATTTTTTATGGTGGCTAGAGTATACCAGTTGAACAAAAACCCTATTGCAGCTGTAGATATACTAAGCTCTAAGAAAATCCGAATCTGCAAATCATGCACAAGGAACGATGATATACATTTTTGGGGGGAGGAGGGGGTTGTTTGTTGTTTCAAGACAGGTCTCACTATGTTGCCAAGGCTTGTCTCAAACTCATGGTCTCAAGTGATCCTACCAACCTCAGCTTCCCAAGTAGCTGGGATTTCAGGCATATGCCACCATGCCCAGCTTGATAAATATTTCTTCAAAAATGATTTGCAATGGAATTTGTACTTACAAAAAGTGAGTTTACAAACCTTAGACCTTGTACAATGTATTTCCCGCAAGAAACATTTACTGGGGCTGCGGACATAGCTCAGTTGGTAGAGTGCTTGCCCTGCATGCACAAGGCCCTGGGTTCAATCCCCAGCACCACCAAAAAAATAAAATTAAAAAAAACCCAAACAAACAAATTTACTAATTTGTTTAGAAGCTCAATATCAGAATAAGCAAAGAGAAATAAATGAATACCAATCTTAGACCACCAGCAATGAATAAACCAGCTCTTCAGTTAGACCTTCCATGGGATACCTATCCTCTCCTCCACCATGAGCCTTTGTGACTAACGCAGGTCTACTCTTCTCTTTCAAAACCAAAACAATGTGACAACTGAGTCACGTGTTCTAAGAAGCTTTACAGATTCTGCCAAATCTTTTAGTTCAATCTCAAAAACAAGAGGTTTCATTGTTTTGGGGTGCTTTCCTAGAAAATCCAACTTGAGGAAAGAACAAGGTATTCATTTCAATCAGGAGAATTCCGTGTTATTTCATGGAGGCACCTTTCCCTTAGGGACAAGACAGGGATAAGGTCCTCTTACTTGAACTCTTCAGCCCACCTGACAATGAAATCTACAAACACTGTGCACCTGGACTCCACTCGCACCTCTGCCCTCATTGATCACAAAAGTCCCTGTGAGAGGGCCTAGCTTCTTAGGAAGATATAGGGAGATAAACCTTGAGGGCAAGGGCCCTGCAGGGTCCCATGGCCGGGGAGTGGTTCCTACTAGTTACCTGGAGTCGTGTGTGTTCTTGGAACTCACACAGCAATAAAAGCCTTTCTGCCTGGAAATCAGCTCAACAGGCTGCTGCTTCTGCTTCACCCTGCTCAGGAACAGCCAGACCTCCCCTCCCTGCTTTTGGTTTTTATAAAAATGTAATGTTAATCCCATCTTTTTTATGAGGTGATACAGCCGCCTCTGTCCCAAGGGAGATAGCCATTAAAGCTGAATAATCAATCGTTCACATGCCAGAAAACCGAAAGTATTCTCTTACCTTTTTGGGGTCCATGTTGAATTTCTTTCTTCCCATGGCTATTTGTTTGTTCCTCTGAGTAGTTTTGCTATTCATTTGAAATAATTAAAAAATCATTAATATGTACATTCGGAGAACACAGCATTTCACACAACACAGCCCAGTCACAGCCCTTCAGCACATCTTCCCTCTCACGACAACAACACAGGACAACTCAACAAAGTAAAAAGCATGGGTACGCTTGGGGAACTCTGGCTCTTTTTAACATATGATAACTTGAGACATACTTCTTCAGAAAAAAATAATGAAAAATAGCAACTTTTTTTTTAAATAAAAAAGCACAGTTTCTTATGATACAGAAAATTTATTTCTAGGTAGTTACTTCTGATTGCTTGTGCTTACTCCCAAACTTACAAAGGTAGACAAGGTCTTAGAGGAAGTAAACAGCAGAGCTGCAGCCCTGCCTCCCAGGAGGGGGAAGGAGCCCGGGACAGAAAACTCAATGAACAGCTCCAAAGGCCCCCACAACCCAGGCCTAGTCCTCTCACCCCTGCAGCAAACACCAGTTGGCAAGTTCAGCTAGAGAGTGGAGGTGGGGAGCAAAGAGATGAAGCAACTTGAAAGCGCAGCCATAAACTACTTACCTCTCCTCCACAGAGGTTAAGTTGTCAATCTCTGTCATCACTTCTGCAATTTCATATTTTAGCCTCTGCCAAAAAAGAAGGATTTGGGGGTCGCAGGGTGTCTTAGCCTTCTTCCACCTAGGCTCAGGCACGTTTTAACCTTGTAGATACCACCTTCCCAGAGGGCTCATTGGAGCATTGCAGGTACCACAGGTACCAGCACCCGATACCTCAAAGTCAGAGCCAGCACTGCTTAGGAGAAAACAAAATGATTTGTCTACCCCTTGTTGGATGACAGATGAGAGAGGTTCACTAGGCAGACTCTAGAGTACTTGTGTGTAAAGTTAAGAAGGAATGTGGAAGAATATTAGAGGTGTAAAAAGTAAGCCTATCCAGCAAAAAGAAGGCAGCAGGTCCCTAGTCCCTGGAAGTATAGCCACTCCCCACGACCTGGCATGGCTTGTGTGCCTTCCCCATGCTGCCTACATTCTCGGGAGACCAGGGGGATGTTGAAGCTCAGACACTTTCAGGTTAGCACTGCGGTAGTTTATCAGCAGCTTATCAGTGACAGAGTGATTCTTGTCACTCTGTCAGGGACAGGGTCCAGAGGGTAAAACCAGATCTGGATCCCTAGGACTCAGAGACCAGAGACATCAGAGGGAACAGACTCCCCTTTCCATTAGTGTGTCCCCTACTGGCTGAGAGGCCCTGGACAGTATCTTAGTTTCCATGGGCCTCAGCATTCTCACTGATGGAATGAAGTAGAGTTAAATTAAGATATCATATTAATTAGGAGTATAATTACTTGTATACAAATAATATAAATTTTTATTCTTCAACTAAAGGACTTATTCTGGGTTACAGGATTTTTCCAAGAATAAAGGATAACCTTAAAATGTCTATAAATTACCTTTCAAATACAAAGAAATTTCTATTCAGGGCCCTATTATTTTGTGTGCCAAGAAAATCAGACTTAAAAGTGAGTTCCTAGAAAGGAGTCATTGTCTGGGATAAGGCCTGGCCCTGCAGCCAATGGCCTTTGAGCCATATTTATTCTGGCAGTGACAATGACTAGGAAGCTTCTTAAGAGGAGCCAATGATTGACTTTTCCAAGCAAGCCCCACATGGAAGGAGCCCAGAGGCCTTGTGAATAGTTTTTGTAGAAATCACAGACACCTCAGCTCTGAAATTGTGGCTTTGTTCATTCGCCCCTCCTAAGGGACATCATTTACCCTGTCCTGAGTAAAGTACACAAGTGTGAGAGGGACATTGTTTATTCATCTGTTTGTCATTTATCTGTTTCTCCTACCACCTAGTAGGTACACAGCTGGAAACCAATATATGTTTGACCATTCATTCAAAGGATATCTGAGTGCCAAAAATGTACTAGGCAACGTTCTATGTGCTCAATATATTGTATATGATCAAGATCTTACCATAAGATTTTAGAGGACAATGCTCAGCAGACCTGTGCTGCTGTTTAAACCTGCCACTGTGACTCTGGAGCTGCAAGCTGACTGCTGCAGACTTCAGACTCACTGTCTCCACTTCTGTCCCAGAGTCTGCATTGTCTGACCTAGACAGCTTTTGCTTCTCCAGTTTAGACAACTCTTTTGCTTGGTCTCTTGATGTAGTTCTCACAGCCATACACTAAACACTGATTTTCTATTTTTTCCTGAAGCAACTTCTTATTCATTATTACACCCAAAAATAAAAACCAAGAGTTTTTTGGTTTTGTTTTGTTCTTTACCTCAATGTCATCAATAAGTTCCTTTTTTCTTCGACGAATGTCCAAAAGTTCTTCTCTCTCTTCTAATGAGAGGTCTTCAGGCACTGAAAAAGAAAAAAAACCAAACAGTTCAACAATACTTTTCCGTGTCTGACAAGGCTGGAGATGGAGGACTGGCTAAAAGGCTGCTTAAGAAAACTACTGATCCTTTCTTCTCATTCCCTTCACTGAAGAACATTTATTTCTTGAGTAAAACCAAAAGGTTAGGGGACACCAAACACAGCTGAGGGCACAGGTACTTCATAAAACTGAGGGTGAGCTAAATGCTGAAGTCTCCCAGTCTTCCCCATGGGGCTCCCAGACTGCAGACCACAAGACTCCCGCAACCCAAACTGCTCTGACTAGAGGTGTGGAAGGTCTTCTCTGCATCAGCTGATCAGCTTCAGGTCACAGATACTGAAACTGAGAGGGAAGCACCCACCACCTGCACACCCGTGTCGCCCAGTAGGGAAACTTGGTCAGCTGCCTTCCTGCTACATTCATAGCTCCCAAACAATTCTTAGTCATTCACTCTCAAATGTGGGTAAACCTCTAACACGTAAAATACATACCAAAACAGACACATGAAAGCTAAGAGAGGTCAAAGTGGTTACAGCCTGAGGAGTAAGACATGAGGAAGGGACAGTAGTGTGTGTCTCCCAACCCAGCCCCATGACAAGCTTCTCTAGTACACACTTAACTGATAAATACAAAAATGTATTTCACTCACACCAGATTGGGTTGTGTAGAAAACAAGAAAGAAAAAAAAAAAAAACTGCTGGGAGTGTACATTGGCACAGCCTCTTTGGAACACAATTAGGTACTGTTTATTAACATCAAAGATGTGCATGCCATAACCTAGCAACTTTACTTCTAGGGATATGTATGTGTAACTAATTTAAAAAACATATTTTTGTACATATACATATATACATACACATGTTTTATATATATACACATACACATAGATATATGAAAAACTCTCTAGCAAAGTGACAGAGAATATGTATAATAAAAAATAAGCACATTTTGTACATAATAAAAAAAGAAAGGAAATAATCTAAATGCCTATCCAGAGTAGAATGGGCAAATGTGTTGTTGGATTATATACACAATGAAATCCCAAACAGCAGTGAAAATGAATAATACAACAAGCAACAAATGAATGATCTCAGGAAAATTATGTAGAAATAAATACTTTCTATATAAACCTTAAAAACAAAAAGTTAAATAGAATGATAAATACAGAACTGAGCTAATACTGAGTGATCGTCTAGGAACAGAGAAGGAGCACGGGATTGGGTAGGAAAGCACAGGATACTTTAAATTTGTAATTTCCTGCCTGTTCTACCAGACCCAAGCTTCATTAAATTCCATATTAGCAATTTCCGTAAGCAATTTTCAATGCTGAGCAATTAATGAGGAAGATATAAATGATAATTTACTGAACCAGACTGGACGACATGCTTTAACAGGTTATCTCAATTAAATCTTCAAAATACCTTTGAGAGCAGCCATTCTTATCTCCATTTATAAGTGAGGAAACCGAGGCTAAGTGAGATCTAATGATTTTCCCTGGAGAGAGACTATTAAAGAAAAAATGCAGGCTGGGGATATAGCTCAGTTGGTAGAGTGCTTGCCTCACATGCACAAGGCCCTGGGTTCAATCCCTAGCACCACCAAAAAAAGAAAAGAAAAGAAAGAAAGAAACAATGGTGGAAATGTCCTAATTTGACCAAGGACATAAATACACACATCCAAGATGCTCAACAAACCCCAGGTAGGATAAACTTAGATACACAAGGTCATGCAACATGCTTTTGGTGGGTCTAGCAGCTCAATAATGTCATCAGTAACCTGGTCTTTCCATTCTGCTTTCCAAAGTGCCAGCTTCATCTTGAACTAAAGCTGATTTCTTTTATGCCAGAGGAATAAGAAAGCACTTCCTTATTCATGGGTCTCTCAAGTTTCTTTCCAGAAGGACCCACAAAGTTTCTCCTCAATTTTTCCTGGATCAACCTGGCTCAGACTAGGGTTTATATGAATCAGCAATAGAATTACTGTGTGTCACACTTAACATTTAAGGGGAAGACACACAGAGATCCAGGTCAAGAGATAAGGTGAGGAAGAGGAGAAAATGATGCTTCCAAAACCAAGAGAATAAAGGCTTTTACCATGAAGAAAACCAACGTCAAATGCCCACACTGTTCAAGAACATAAAGAAGCAACCATGCCAACAGACAATTCTTGAACCTTCAAAGCTATTATTTTTACCACTCTTTCCCCCGTGCTGGGGATTGAGCTAAGGGGGCACTTTACTACTGACCTATCTCTCCAGTCCTTTTTATATTGTGATTTCTGAGTCAGGGTCTCCCTAAATTGCTAAACTGATCTTCAATCTGAGGTTCTCCTGACTCAGTTCCTGAGTTACTAAGATTATAGCCAAGAGTCATTGTGCCCAGAAGCCTGTATTCTAACAAATAGAATATTATTTCTAAAAGTAGCCAGCTGATTGACACTATCCTGTTACTTGAAAGTAACTTACACCTGAAGTTTTAAGTTAAACTTGTCAACAATGCTGGCTGGGCACCCAAAAGCGGCCTCCTTGGGGGAAAAAAACTCTCTGCTGCTGAGTTCTCCAATGCGGATATATGAAAACAAGAATCCAAAAGGGTAGAGCTGTACTTCAACCATCTATAGACACTTATGTTTCTTTTAAGAATGTCTATTTACAGGGCTGGGGTTGTAACTCAGTGTTAAAGCACTTGCCTAGCACGTGTGAGGCAATGGGTTTGATCCTCAGCACCACATAAAAATAAATAAAACAAAGTTATTGTGTCCATCTACAACTAAAGAGAAAAAAAGTCTATTTACAGTATCTCCCCTCCTGCCCTGAGGATGTGCAGTGTTGGTTAACAACAGAGTGAAGGCTTTGAAGGTGAATATAAACACCACAATGATTTAACGCTAAAGATCCTAAAGCTCCTTCGATCAGAAGCTTTCCAGGATTCCCTTGATTTTTTTTTTCTCCTCTAGTGATGCCTGTCTTTTCCTACCCCTTTAAGGCACTAAGGAGTAATAACAAAGTGTTTTCATTTATGTTACCAGTAATTCCAACCTTTTTAAAAGACATTTTATATGGTACGATAATGTGATTGTGGCTATCTAGAAAAATCTTTATTTCCTAGAGACTCATACTATAGTTGTTAGGATTATAATGCTATTAAACCAGTACTTTGAAATACTTCAGCAAAAAAAAGAACTGAGCCAAATAACAACTGTTGAATCTATTTGATAGATGTATGATTATTTGTTATCCATTTTAAAATTTGAAAATTTTCATAGTAAAGAATAACAGAAAATGTTTTGGTATTAAATGGCCAATATCTTTTAGGATATTCAGCAAAAGCATCAACAGGAAGTAATAGAATACTCAGCACATCTAAAAGACTCAGTCCCCAGAGGCAGAGTGTGCTCAGCATGAGCAAGGCCCGGGAATCAATGCCAAAAAGGGAAAGAAGGACGAGAAGAAAGAGAGTGAAGCAGGGAGGGAGGAAAGAAAAAAGGGAAGAGAAAAAGAAGGGGGGGAAAGAAAAAAGACTTTAATAAAAGGAACTGAAGTATGTGATGAAATATTTCCAGAACAATCTGCACAGCTTCAGTCATTTAAGTATCTTTTCATCCTATTATTTCTCTGGACACCCAGAATGCATAGTGAATACCAACACTGAGCTGTTATACCAGCTGTTTAGTGAAGTTCTATCAGCATCTATCTGCATCCAAAATAACTTTGCAGTCATAAATCTGCTGACACACAGGCAATTTCACACATGCAAGTGCTATACTAAAAATGGGATGCTAAGCAATGTTTAGAGAAGGGGTACCGATTATCCAGACCCTTCCCAGGAACACACCAGTTTGCCCTATGAAGGCAACATAAGACTTAGATTGATTTATTGACATTGGCTGTCTATACTTGTTCACTTGGACTCTATTAGGTAAGAAGAAACAAAGGTGTCATGGAGGATTTTTCTTTATCTCCCAAGAAATCTAGCAATTTATTCTTAAACTGAAAATGAATATATGGATGTGGCTATACCCTAATGCACAAAAAGGCATATGATGAAAACTTTTATTTCAACCTCAATAAAGCTACCTTCTTTGAAAGAATCAAATCAACTGAAAATTTCTGCTCTGGCTGCAAAATCCTAAAGTTTGTTGGATGTCCTTATTATGAGCTTCCATATAGAATTCTGACACTCCAGAGGTGGGCTTAAGAATGGCCCTTCAGGGTTGGGGTTGTGGCTCAGCAGTAGAGTGCTCGCTTAACACGTGCAAAGCCCTAGGTTCGATCCTTAGCACCACATAAAAATAAATAAATAAAATAAAGATAGTCTGTCCAACTACAACTAAAAAGTAAATATTAAAAAAGAAAGAAAGAAAGAAAAAATGGCCATTCAGGGGCTGGAGTTGTGGCTCAGTGGAAGAGCTCTTGCCTAGCGTGTGTGAGGCACTGGGTTTGATTCTCGGCACCAAAAACCAATAAATAAAATAAAGGTCCATCAACAACTAAAAAAAAAAATTACTTTTTTTAAATATATATATATATTTTTAGCTGTTGATAGACCTTTATTTCATTCATTTATTTCCCCAGGCTGACCTGAAACTCCTTCCTTAGCCACCCAAGTGCCTGGGATTACACATGTACACCACCCTGCCCTGCACAACTCTTCACTGAAATTGACATCTTCTATCCTAAAGTTTACCTTCCTTGCAACACTAACTAATCAACACTAACTTTTTTGTTGTGATTTGGTATTTTTTAGATTTTTGTTCAGTTCAGGTACAAGCCAATTCTATAGGACACTAAGAACACTGGCATGGGCCTGGGAATTAGTCCCTGTTCATCAACTAAATGGAAATTTTGTACACAGGGAAATAATGCCTTTCTTGTGATACTCCAAAAACAAATGATTGAACTGTTTAGAGCACAAGTTCCAAGGGACTACTAGCATGATATGATGATACAAAAAACAAAAAGGTAGACTATAGGCCACCAGAGCTA